GGGGGCAGAAACATGGCGATTGGCCCACTTTCTAACTGGAAAGGAACCATATGGAGGGTTTAGCTGGGAGCTGAGGGCCTGCCCGGCCGCCTTAGTGCGCTGTGGGCAGCAGGCTGGGTCCCCTTGGCTCTCTGCAACTCGGGCCTGGAGGGGCCCAGTCTTGCCCAAGGACCCTCCCTCCTTCTGTCCTTTCCCTATGAACTCCTGGTAACGTGCTTTTTTCCAGTGCTTGGGACTTCTGTGGGTGTCTTGGGAGAGACTTGAGGAGCTTGGCCTGCCTGGAAGAGGCAGAAAGTAAGGGAGTGGGTGCTGGTCAGGGTAGGGGCAGAGGGCACGGCTGCCATGCCTGCTCCAGAGAACCAGGGGATCTGCTTCCCGGGGCAGGAATGTGAGAGTGCGTGTGTGTTGCCTGGCCCCAAGCTTGGCAGATGCCTGGCACAGAGCAGCCCCCCTTCTAGTGAGCGTATCTTATTCTCCCCAAAATGCCCCACCACCTGGCTGCTTACACCTCCTTCTTCTAAGACTCAGCTCACTGTCACTGCCTGTGGGCAGCCTTCCCTGGTGGCACCACTCCGCCTGCGGGTAGAGGCCCCTCCTTGGGTGGAGCTGGGTGTTGGCAACTTTCTCAGGGGGACTGGTGGGTGGGGTGCATCTCCCTGCACCCTGAGCCCCTTGCACCCCAGACTCCCACCCAGAGGTATATGATCTAAGGTGCAGAAGCCTCTGGTGGCCCTGGCCTGGGCCGAGAGGCCATTTGGAGGCATAGGGGTGCCCAGCCAAGGCGGATGGTTTAAGGCATTGGCTGGGATCCTGTTTGGGGTGGGGCTGGGCTGAGACCCTTGAGTGGGACCCAGAGGAGGTGACAGTCTTAGATAAAGGCGCTGGCTTCATTAAGAATAATCCCTCATGCTTTTCCATCAACTGAGCCCTGGCTCTGCCACCAGGGGCCCTGGGGGCCTTACTCCCTGGAGGCTCCCCACTCTGTACCCCAGTGAGGCAGGGAACTGCGTGGCTTTGGGCAAGCCACTTCTCTTCTCTGAGCCTCAGTTTCCTCATCTGTCAAATTCGGTTGATGATAGCAACAGTGGCCTGCAATGCTTTTGTACCAGGAGACCAGTGGGATTTAAATACGTGAATGACGCCTTCCCCCGCCAGCACCGAGAGACACTTCTGAGGCCAGGAACTGGCTGGGTGAAGGCTGACGTGCTCCCAGGGTTTCTGGGTGTGAACCCTGGCCCCACGGTGTATGGACGGCATCCTGGATGCTCCCACAGGCTTGGGGCCGGGCTTCTACAGGGCAGTGAGCTCAAGAGGCAGGAGGCCTGGTCTCTGTCCCCTCGTCCAGGACTCAGGCAGGTAGACGGTGGGCCAGAGAAGAAGGAGAGACAGGAGGGCCCCCAAAGCCCCCTGACCCCAATCAGCTCCTCTGGTCACTCCAGCTGAAGCCCTCCCATTAGAATGGCCTTCCCGGGCTCTCTTGGGCTCCCTGCCAGAAATCTGACCACGAATAAGATGGGGGGTGTGTGTCAAGGTACCCTGCTGGGCCTGGGCATATGGTGGGAGCTGGCGAGCCTACACCCCAAGGGGCCTGTAGGTGCCTGGAAAGGAAGCTGGGAAGACCTGGATGATCCCTGTAGGTGGCTTTGCAGTGTCGCTGCCTGGGATGCGTGGTAGAGTCAGCAGCCACGTGTGCTCCTCTCACGAAGGGGCCTGCTGATGAGCAAAGGCCTGGGGACAAGAGCCCCGGGAGGTGGGTGTGGGTATGGGGGCACTAATGGCCCAGGGTGGACAATTTGCTCTCATCTCAGACTTACTCCTCCCAAAAACCTTATGAGGTGGTTACAATGAAATAACCAACACTTACTAAGCCCTTACTATGTGCCAGATATTATTGTACTTATATGCTTTAACTCGCTTAGCTTTATAACAACCCTATGAAGTAGGTAGTATTATTACCTTCACTTTATAGATGATGTATTTGAGGCACAGAGAGGTATAGTAACTGCCCTGAGGTCACACAGCAGTAAGGAGCAGAGCCAAGATTTGAACCTAGGCAGTCTAGCTCCTAAACATGATGCCGTGTTGCCTTTTGCTAGCAGCCTCTTTTATATATGGGGAAACTGAGGCACAGAAGACTTAAGTGACATGTCCAGGGTCACCCAGCTAGTGAGTGGTAGAATGAAAATTTGCACTGTGGCTGTTCTGACTGCACAGCCCATGCTCAGAGATCAGGATCCAGGGGCTAGGACTCAGGCTGGGGGACCTCAGGCAGCCCCCAGCCTCGATCTCCTGGAGTGAGTGTGTGTTGGAGGTGAGGAGGAGAGAACCGGCTCCTCTGCCGGCTCCAGGCTGACTGGTGCCCTTCCTGCAGGGGGCGTGTGCATCGCCCAGTCGGTGAAGATACCGCGGGAGCCTAAGACCGGGGAGTTTGACAAGATCATCCGGCGCCTCCTGGAGACCTCGAACGCCAGGGCTGTCATCATCTTTGCTAATGAGGATGACATCAGGTGAGGGCAGGCGGCAGCGGCGGGGGTTGGGAGCCAGGCGTGGGGAGAGCCACTGGTCTTGCTGGAGACCCTCCTAGACAAGCTGACCCCCATCCTGGGATCCAGAGAGGTGAGCTGGATGAGTGAGTGTGTGGGCTGGGAGACCCCTCAGCCTAGGGCACAGGCTACTGCTAATGGGCACCCCTCTCCTTACCCCTCCGTTTCCTGCATCCATTCTACCAATCAGGGATGGTGAGCAGGTGCTTTAACAAAGGGGCTAAGACCATGGGCTTGGGGCCAGAGCACCTAGGTTCTAACCCTGCTCTTTTTCCTACTAGCTGTGTGACCTGAAGCAAGTTTCTCAACCTCTCTGGGCCTCTCTTTTCTGCTTGAAAAAAAGGAGCTAATAATGCCTGCCTAATAGTGTTGTTTGAGAATTGAATGCAGGAATGTGCATTAGAGCAGAGTCTGGCATGCAGTAGGTGCTCAATGCAGCCCCTCCTGCCCTTCTTTGGAGAGCTCAGAGTAGTGGGAAGAGGCCTGGGCTGTGGTTTTAGTCCTGGCTTGGGCACACACTCACTGTGGGCAGTATTGTCCCCTCCCTGGGCCTCAGTCTCTGCATCTGCAGAGTGGGAGCAGGTGGCCTCTGGGTGCCAGGACCCTGCAGTGCAGAAACCCTGGGCCAGCCCACCTCTGCACGTCTGCCCCTGGGGGCTGAGTCAGAAACTTGGATGCACTTAAAAGATGACCCCAAGTGCCCCTTGTAACCCACTTGCCTTCTTTCTGCCTTTTCCCTTGCTACCATCTGAGACTGGATGTCAGGGCAAGGTGGGCCAGGCCTCGAGATGCCCCAGTCTGAGGGAGACACAGCCCTGCATTTGCAGAGGAGGGTGAGACAGCAGATGTGGTCTGAGCTGTCAGAGCCTGGGGTGCCCTCAAGCCTCCCCTGCCCACTGGGCCAGCCAAGGCTGCCTGTCTGCTCCCCCTACATGGCTCCCTCCCCATCACTAACCAGCGTCCACTCTGGGTCCCATTCTTTCCAACACCTTTTCTCACTTGGTAAAGACCCCATCCTGGACTCCTGAGTTGCAGCAAAACAGATTTCCCCCCAGGAGACATTGCCAGGTCCCAGCAGGGACAGAGGGGCAGGTTCTGGAAGATCCTTAGGCCTCCAAAGCCAAAAGGACCAGCTCTAATGGATGTGTCTCAGGCTGAGAAAGACCAGGGAGGGGGAGTCCTTAGAGTCCATCTGACCCCTCTGAGCTGAGCGCAGAGGCTACTCCTGACCCCTCGAAGCTTACAGTCCCCTAAATTCTGGCTCTGGATGTTCCTGTTGCCACATGTCAGCCAGCTCCTGGGGCTGGAGGGGCTCCTTCTGGGTTCTCTTTGCTCAATTTAGTCACCAGTCCCTGCACACCCCCCACCGCCCGAAGCCCAGCATTAGTCAGGTCCCCACCCCACCCAGATATGCGCCCACTCCAGGCCTCCTGTTCAGCTCAGATGGACCCTGAGCCGGGAGGGGAGGACGAAGGTGCTGGGTCCAGTGTCCCAGAGAAGAGGCCCTGGGGGAGGGGGAAGGGCCTTAGCCTGACTCCCCAAGCGGCTGCAGGAAGTGTGGTGGGAGGTGGGGGGCGTTTCTGGAAATCCACATGCATTTTCAGAAGCAAACAGAGGTAAAAATAACCCAGGTGACTCTGCGGGATGGAGGACGGGGAGCTCTGGTCATCTCTGGCTGGTCGGATGCAGCCGGGTATTAATAGGGCTGCGGCGTGGGTTCTGAGAGCAGCCCCACCTGCGATCAGTGTGCCCTGGGGGGGGCTGCAGCTGGTTGGGGGTCCTGGAATGTGAGAGTCAGGAGATGATGGAGGAGGGAAGGTGCAGGCTCTGGGGCCTGGAAACATGTTTCTCCCTGGCAGCCCCGGGCTGTCCTGCCCCAGCTGGCCGCCTCCTGCCCAGGCCCAGCAGCCACCCCCAAGCCCGGGGTCTGCTGGCCCTGGCCCATGGGAGGGGCCTGGCCATTTTCTAATATCCTGGCCTCTCACTTGCTGTGTGATTGTGAGTAGGTTGCTTGCCTCCTCTACGCTCTAGTCTCGCCCTAGAACTTAGTTTGTGCATTCCTTAAGTATTGACTGAGTGCCTCCTGTGGGCTCGGCCCTGTGCCAGGCTCCAGGGTCCCTGATTTGATTAAAACCAGTGTCACAGTAGGACTGGGGAGCCGGGTAAGCACCTGGCTGCCACACAGCCTTTCATCCATACGGGCAGGGTGTGGGGAACAGCTCTTTGAAGAACCTGGACTTCTGGCCCAGAAGGAGGTGGGGTGGAGAGGGCACTGCTGGCAGGGGAGCGAGGGCAGAGGGGTAAGGGGGTATGTGTGTGACAGTGGATATAAAGGTGCCAAGGGGCCATGGGATGTGGCTGTGGGCTTAGGGCCGGGGTGGCATGAGCTTGTGAAGACATCGGCAGGCCAGGTGTAGTTCTGGGGGCCTGAGTCAGACATGGGGCAGGTGCGGACCTAGGAACACAGGTGTGGTCTTTGCAGGGACAGATGTGGCCCTAGGGGATAGGAGTGGGTCTAGGGGAGCACACTGGGCTTATAGGCAGGCGTGAGCCCAGGGGACAGGCAGGAACTAGGGGTACAGGTATGGGGGAGGGGTAGCCGTGGGCAATATGGGCAGCTGTGGGCCAGGGGTGGGGGGACCATGGGCCTGGAGGTAGAGGCGTGGGTGCTGGGGCAGCTGTGGGCCCTGGGCTCATGTGGGCCAGCAGTGGGGGATCCAGACACAGCCTAAGGTACAGGCACGGGCTGTGAGGGGGGCAGGTGTGGGCCTGGGAGGGGTCAGCCAAGGGCCCCTGAGCAGGTGTGGCCGGGGTGGGGGCAGTGGTGTGGGCAGACACGGCTGGGCTGGGCTGGTGTGTGTCCCCACAGGCGTGTGCTGGAGGCGGCACGGAAGGCCAACCAGACGGGCCACTTCTTCTGGATGGGCTCGGACAGCTGGGGCTCCAAGATCGCACCTGTGCTGCACCTGGAGGAGGTGGCCGAGGGCGCTGTCACTATCCTCCCCAAGAGGATGTCCGTCCGAGGTAGGTCCAGCAGGCCTGGACGACACCCACCACCACTATCAGCGTCATCCCTGACGGGTCCTACTTACTGCACACCCCCCTTCCTCTCCCACTCCTCGTCTTCCTACAGCCTGTCTCCTCTTTCTGGGCCCACAGCCTCTTTGTGCTCAGGTTGTGGCCTGGAGGCCCTTATGGCCGCACTCAACCCAGCAGGTTTTGAATCCAGATTCAGGCCCTTTCTTCCTCCCTTCTCAGATATTTTGGGTGTGGGAGGCATGTGGCTTGTACATGAGGCTCATTTATCAAGGACTCTCCTTCATCCCCTCCCATCCCCTCTCCCATCTGGGGCAGAGGAGCTAGGCCCTCGCTCTGTCTGCAGCGAGTCCTCTGCCAGAAGGGGGCTGGGAGCTACAAGAAGCGGGTGCAGTGCCAGAGGGCAGGGGCCTCCCTGCAGAGCCTGCCTGTGTCTGGCAAGCCCTGAGTGGTGTTGGGGTTGGGCCTGCCCTGCCCCGCTTCCCTTCTTCTAGGGCCAGAACAGACTGCTCTGGCCGGAACCTCGCTGTGCGGGAGGCGTGAAGTTCCCATTAAATGGCTCGATTTGGCAGGCCCTCACCGATCTCACCTTGGGGGAGGCAGGCTCCCAGGGCCTTCAACCCTGTCTCGCTCCGTTCAATAGAATCCAGCGCTGATGGAGCTGGGAAGGCCTGCAGACTTCTGCCTCCACCGAACTTTCCAAGAGACTGAGGCCTGAGCAGGGCAGGGACTTGCTCAAGGTCACACAGCAGTGTCCTGTATTCACCCTGAGGCAGAGGGAGCACAGGCAACAGAAGTTTCCACACCACCCCTCTCAGCTTCAACCCATAATAAACACAAAGTAACAATGACTGGGCTATTGGCACCATACACATGCCAGGCCCCTTACAGACAGCTCATTTAGTGTTCCCGGCAACCACATTTAGTAGACAAATACATTAAGGCTCAGAGAGATTAAGTGACATACAGTGGCTATTAAGAGGCAGAGCTGGGATTTGAACCCAGGACTTGCCTGACAAGTCCCTTTTCTCTCTGGGACATTAGAGAAGCCTGTAGAGCAGTGGTTCTCATCTGGGGGTGATTTTGACTCCCAAGGGACATTTGGCAATGTCTGGAGACATTTTTGGTTGTCACGACGTGGAGAGATGCTACTGGCATCTAGTGGGTTGAGGCCAAGGACGCTGCTCAGCATCCTGCAATGCACAGGGCAGCCCCCTACAGCGAAGACTGATCAGGCCCAAAGTGTCGATAGTGCCAAAGGTGAGAGACCTCGCTCTAGGCCAGGCCCCCCAAATGCCAGCCTTTCTCCTACACTCTGACAGTCATTTAGTCTCCAGCTGGACCCTGCCATGGGCGGGAAGCTCACCACTAGGTGTCGGCCCCATTGAACTTGCAGGCCTTCTGGCCCAGCCCCAGCAGCTCAGTCAACTGTGCACATTACACGGGACAGTCTTCCTTGCAGAAGGGGCATTGGGAGGAGGGAGAAGGCGTTGTTCACCTGCCAGCCTGCCCACCCTGGGACGGGGTTTTCTGGGCTTAGAGCAGACTTGGCGAGTCCCGCGGAGCACAGGGAGGAGGAGGCTGCGTCTGTCAGTGATGGGGAAGTTATGGACTTGAAGGGAGAAGATCCAGGTCCTGGTCTTGCTGTGTGACCTGGATCATCCCCTGCCCTCTCTGGTCCAGTCTCCTCTTCAGAACCAGAGAGCTCAGGGTGCTTCTAGGTTTGGGCATCCCCCTCAGCCTCTCTGCTCTAATCTCAGGACCCCCAGGTGGCTCATTCTCGAAGAGGCCCGATGTTAGCATTTGGGTGGTTAAAAGGCGAGGGCAGCGTCCTCCTCGTGTACTTCTCCATAAGGGCCGCAGCTGTAAGATTACACATGCTCCCCCCTGGGACTTACGACAGCCCTTTTCATTCTGAATGAAATGAAATGCTCCATGTTTTCTTTTTCTGGCTGAGCCCTGGATCAGAGGATGTGCTCCTCTCTCCGCCTGGGAAGCATCTCGAAGCCTGGGGGCAGCAGGAAGGGCTGGGGGCGGCTGGGGAAGGCCGGGGCGTGAGGCCCTGATGTCCTGGTTCCCCGCCAGGCTTTGACCGCTACTTCTCCAGTCGCACGCTGGACAACAACCGGCGCAACATCTGGTTTGCCGAGTTCTGGGAGGACAACTTCCACTGCAAGCTGAGCCGCCACGCGCTCAAGAAGGGCAGCCACGTCAGGAAGTGCACCAGTGAGCACGTGCGCGCGGGCCAGCGGAGCCTGGACGCGGCCTTGGGGGCGGGGCCAGGAGGGCTCCGAGGGGGCGGGGCTTGGGGGGAGGGCTGAGAGCGCTGAGGAAGGGGGTCTACCAGCCGGCATTGCAGGGGCAGGAGTCTCTGGGGGGTCCAGGCGGCCGGCGGGGAGATGGGCCTGCGCCTGGGGGCGGAGTTTGGGGGGCCTAGGGGCGGGGCATGAAGGGGCGGGACCAGGGCCCATTCGGTCCCACTCCAGAGGTCTTGGGAGTGGTAGGGCTTAGGGTCGAGGAAGGTGCTGTGCTGTCTGGACCCTCGGTGACGCGGCCGAGTGGGGGACGGGGTTCCTGGGTCTCCGCAGAGGAGCCGTCCGGCCTATGGCCACCTTGGGGTTCCTCTGGACGTGCCTAAGTTGAGCCCACAAACTGACCTGACCCCAGCTGCCCTGTGAGTCCTGAAGCTCGCCTGTCTGAACGCCTTACAGAGCCATCTCTCACCCCTCGGGGTTCCTTCAGTCACTCAGCAAACACCAGTTTGACACCAGGGACGTGCCTGGTCCACTTCTCAGCACGGTGCATATAGCAGTGAGCAAAAGTCAAAAATCTCCTTATCCTAATGAGGAAACAACATAAATAAGTAAATACTGAGTATGTCAGAAGGAAAATGTGCAGTAGGAACAAATGAAACAGATAAGAAAGAGGATGGCCTCCCTGCAAAGGTAGCCTTTGAGCAGAGTCCTGAGAAGAACAGGGAATGAGCATGGAAGGATGGGCCGATGGGTCCACTTTACAGATCAGAAGACAGAGGCTCAGAGAAGCTAAGTAAAGGGAACTGAGTTCCCACAGGGGGAAGGTGGTAGACAGGATTTGAACCCAGGCCTGAGCTCTAGGCCCTCAGCCCTTATGGCAGTCATCTTGGTGCATCCACATTCGGACACATTCGGGTGTGGATCCTTGTGTGCTCTTGGTCTGGGCAGCTCTGCGGCAGGACCCGTCCTCAGAGACATTGGGTGCCCCTCAGCCTGAGAGGTGCCTATGCAAGGATGACGAACTCCCCCTTATATCCTCCTGGACTGATTGGTGCAGGTGGCAGAGGGCCAGATGAGCAAGGGGCCACTGAACTAGCCGCAGGGACATGCTGCATGGAATCCTGGCCAGTGAGGTGGTCCACTAGGGCCAGGGGAGGAGGGAGCATGATGAGGTGGGTGGGTGGTGGAGAGCATGCTGCCCCCTGGTGGTCAGGGGCCGCTGGGACTTGTGGCCACTTAGGGCTGTGGGTATCCCCTGGTGGCCAGGGCAAATTCATATGTGGGTGTAGGTGGCAGTGTGTGTGACTGTATGTGCAAGAGGCAGTATGTCTGAGGGAGAAGGTATGTGTTTGTCTTATGTGGGGGCTTGTGTTCCTGGGTGAGCTGATAACCATAAATGCCGCTGTTTGTTATGCGTCTACTGTGTTCTGGACACTTTAAAGTCATCTCATTTTACCTTCACAACAGCTCTAGGGACTTTTATGATCCCCATATTATAGAGGAGGACATGGAGAGTCAGAGAGGCCAAGCGACTTGCCCAAGGCTGCACAGCAAATGCCTTCATCAGGCAATAATCACAACAGAGTGTCAGAAGTGCAAACGCGCCTGGGCATGGGATGCTGAGCCCTCCTGGGTAGGGTGACCGTGTACCATGCTCACTCCTCTTCTCCTGATGTAGTTATTGAGAGCATCCCCTTTAATTCTCAGAAGGGCCCAAGTGGGGGTGGAAAACTGTATGTTCACCCTGATTCTAGGTCACCAGGCGTGGCTTGGGGATGGGGATGGGTGAGACCGGAAGTGGGGGAAAGTTGGATAAGTGGGGCCTCTGGGTCCCGGTGTCTAGCCTGCCAAGGGCGAGAGGCTTTCTGGCATCGCCCCTTGGTCTGGGAGGGGCCGGCGGGGAGAAGGCCTTGCTCAGTCCCTGTAGGCTCTGTCTAGACTCCCAGTCCTCGGGCCAGGATTCGCAGACATCTCCCTGGCTGGCGAACAGGGGAGAGGGCCGCCTCTCTAGCAGCCCTGAGGTGGGTGTGTGGGCCGACCGTGCCCACCTGCCGACCGTCAGAGCAGGGGGAGGAGGGAGGGCCAGAGCAGGATTCAGAGGAGTGTAGGGCTTCACTGTGAGCCTGTGGCGAGCCCTGTGACCTCCCTGAGCCTTTGCTTTCTCATCTGAGAAATGGGATTGCTGGTGAGCCAGCCCAGGGGGTGTCTCGGAGGCAAATCGTGAACTGTAAAAGGGGGGCTCTGCAGCCTGGCGGTGCATTAGAATCACCTGGGAGCTTTTAAAATGCTGCCAGGGACCCACCCCCACGCCCACTAAACAGAACCTCAGGGGTGGGGCCTGGGCTGTGGATGTTTTGAAGGCTCCCTGGGTGATCTTTTGTATGTTTAGAGCTGGGAACCTTGGGCGGGAGCAGTAGTTCCGAACCTTGTTCACATTGAATCACCTGGGGATCTTTTAAAACGACTGATGCCTGACTCCCACCGCCAGACATTCTGATTGAATTGGTGCTGGGCGCAACCTGGGCATCACGAGTTTTAAAAGCGCCCCAGGTGGTTCTACTGTGCAGCAAAGTGTGGGAGCCACAGGCTCGGAGGGAGAAGGGGGTGATGGGAGGGAGGACGGCATGCACTGCAGGCAGGGGGAGGGCGTGAGCAGAGGAGCAGAGGCTGGAATGAGCCTGGGGTGCTTGTCAGGGGGAGGAGTGGAGCACAGCACCTTACAGCTAACCTGGACCCTTCTGGCTGCGTCTGAAGCCCCAGCAGAGGCTGGTTAAGAGTCCTCGTGTGGCCCCAAGTCAGGTGTGGTGAGCCCGTCCGTCTCTGGGTGAGGTGAGGAGCAAGGGGGCTGCTGGGAGTGTTTGTGGGACCTGAGATGCACCCTGGGTGGGGGAGGCAGCTCTGGCTTCTCCATGGCCCTTCCCAGGTGTGAGCTGAGGTGGTCTCTCAGGCCAGGAGGGCTGGGGTGGCCCCCACGGAGTGCTGGCTCTGGACCAGGCACCTGGGAGGGAGGGGCAGGGGAGGGACTCACCTCAGGGTCTGGATCTGACTCTGCCTTCTTGCTGCTGTGTGACCTTGGACAACTCACTTAACCTCTCTGAGTCTCAGAAGCTTGTCTATAGAATAGGGAAGATATCCCCTATCTCAGTGGGTTGTTGTGAGGTTTGGAGAGAGTGTTTGAAGACGCTGGCTGAAAAATGATGCCTGTGATGGGTGCTGATGAAATGGTTGTTGATGTAGAGAGGGGGTGGGAGAAATGGGCCTTACAGGCAATTAGGTAATTAACAGCCCAGGTCTGTCAGTACTGATTCTGTCTGTCAGCTGCAGGAACCGGATGAGGGGGGCACCATCCCCAGGGTGGGTGGTATAGGCGGTAAAACGGGGGCTGCACCCATTTTACAGAAGAGGACACTGAGGCAGCTTGAGAACATCACGGCACTAGACTTTGCAGAGCTGGGTTCACACCCCACAGCCTGGCTCTAGAGCTGGTGCCCCACCTGCCTTTCCCGCTCCTTCCCTCCCATGCCTTGAACCCCCTCTCTTTTGCCCTCAGCCAGCTCGGTATTCTCCACCTCCCCCCACTGTGTCTCCAGAGCCTGGCTTCCCACCCACTTCTCCCCGGATGCCTGCCCCGTCAACACTGGTGGCCTGGGATTGGCCCACTCTGGCCCATTGATGCCAACAGATTTGCGCCCGTCCTTTGCTTTGCCAAAGCCATTCCTTCCTGCCCCAGGTCAGCGGCTGGGCCTGGTGACCTTCTGAGAGCCTGGGAAGGCCCTGCTCTTCCTGGGTCTTACACTTGGGAAGATGCCATCCTTCCAGGCTGTCTCAAGTTGAGGGCCCCCCAAGACAAGGCTTTGAGAGCAAGTAGTTTATTTGGGAGGGGACCCCAGGAAACACTGGAGGGAAGGCAGCCATGAAGGGTGCAATACCGAGCAGGTGACCACCGTGACCAGCTGGAGCTTTACTCCCCCTGGGGGCCCTGTGGACAGAGGAGCACGCCTTTCAGTCATCCCACTGGCGGTGTGAGGGAGCTGGGGTATGAATACACCAACTCCTGTCGATCTCTGGGGCTGCTCCTGCAGGGCATTCATTCCTCAGCACCTCCAGCCTGCCCAGTGGCGGGCGCAGAGGGCTTCTGTCACCAAGGTCTCAGGAGAGCGGCAGATGCTGGCAGTTGGAGATTGGGCTGGTGGGTCTTGAAGTGGTGAGGGTGAGGGGATGTGCGTGGGCCCCCGTTCCTTCTCGAACATGCAGCTATGAGACTGCTGCAGACCTGGGTGTGAATCCTGGTGCTGCCACTTCCTAGCTGTGTGACCTCACTCAGGTCACTTCACCTCCTGAGGCCTCAGTTTCCTCATCAGTAAAATGGGAATCATATTACCCACTCACATCCCGCTGGAGCCCCGTCCCCAGCAGGCTACCTCCCGCATGGTTTCCTGGAGAAGGGATGGAGGAGATTGCAGGAAGCACTTGCAGATGCCCAGGATTGCCCCACAGCTGAGCGCGATAGGGGTCACTGAGCAAGGTGCCTCCTCAGCTGTCAAGGCCTGGGGGAGGGCAGCGCCCGCCTCCCTCCTCCTCTCCCCGCCCCCTCCCCGGGAGCCTGCAGAGCAGGGTTTGAGAATTAAAGCCATAAACAAAACAGATGTAGCATCCGTCTTGTTGACAGCACTGCCAGCCAGGTGATGGCTGAGCGGAGGAAGGCTGGTTTATGAGGAGGTAGGACAAATTTACTGCCTGCCGCTCCCGGGGGCCGGGAGCTCTGAGAGTGAGGGCAGCTGTGAGGCAGCTAGGGATGTGTGGGGAGACGCTGATCACCCAGCCTGTGCTAACAGCAATAATAGCAACAACAATAATAATAATAGCTAATATTTATAGAGCATTTGTTACTTGTCAAGCTCTGTTCTAGTGTTTTCCATTTAATCTTCACAGCAACCCATTTTACAGATGAGGAAACTGAGGCACAGAGAG